AAATAAGATAAGCTTTTGGGCGGATTTTTTGACATCATGTTATTTAAAAAATCATAACTCTATAACGGGGCGTCGTATCTGTCTCTTATACACATCTAGATGTGTATAAGAGACAGGCCCCACCCCCCGCGCCTGTTACGACACTGGCTAACACGCCAATCATCCCCCCCAATGAAAAATATTTTTCTACGCCACTGCTCACACAGACGGAAATCAAATTCTCCTTGTCGCTGTAACATTGTGGAGAAGGTGATTTCCCTCTGTATGTCTAGCCATGGGTTCCTCCATGGCCTAGCTACTGCGTGATGTTCATCTGTTCGCCTTGAATGACTGAGCCCAAGGCTGTTCGTAGCTGACATTAACATGACAATAAACAGAAAATAGCGATCTTGTTGACATTATCTGTGTGAAATATTTTGTAAAGACATCGTTAAGAGGTGAATGAGTAAAACTTTAGGTATTTTGTCAGACTTTCATTGAAATTTTAACTGGTCATGCGGACTTGTTATTGGGATAATTAACAGGTCCGCCATGCATTTTACTAGCCATTGGCCGGCGGACCAGTGTTATTTCGAACCCTGAGTATAGTATCATTTTAATTATAGTAAAGACGAATGTTCTCGTGATGCTATACTTCCTTATTGCAATCGCTGTGTTCCCACGTGAACGCAACTGAATCAATGTGTTAAGTTCCCGCTTTCAACAACAACTTCCCATTCTTGATGAGTATAGGTAGCTTTGGTTTACCATACACTTCATCATTAGCTTAAAAACTTCCATTCAACAATAACCAGTAGCTCCCAAATGGAAAGTTAGGTGACACTGTATTAAAGCAAAATATTATGCATAAAAACAATGATGTCTTATAAATCATCCAGCCACGTTAAATCTAAATATACATACATACACATATATACATATATATACAAATATACATATATATACACAATATATGCGCAGACATATATATGCAACATATATATAAATATAATTATACATACATCAGTAATACACGTTAATGTTCCACCTATATATTAACTTCTAATAGTTTTCAGATTATAATCCAAGTAATGGTATTCATTATAATCAATTTCTAAATATCCATAGTCATTACATTACTTCCATTTTACAATTATTCAAATACTCACAATGTCCACTACCCTACTGTAGGTTAACATAGACGAGCTCCACCACGTTCAGCTGCGAGCCTTGTTGGAGTTTCTATCCTAACTCGCCCCATTCCGTCGGTTTATAACTGAACAAAAACCACTTTATCACGGTTCTACCAACTGTGTAAATTCACAAAGGCTTATACAGTTTTGTGCGTCCAATGCACACTGCGCCCCATGATAAGCTTAATATAATATTGCTCGTCTCATGAACCTCACAGAATTGGCTGTGGGTTGACTCAATCGTATGGTGGTAAATTTGAGAGTAATTCGAATTCTCGCGCTAGTCATTTTATATGACCGGCTGGCAACGGATTTACGCATATGCAAATTTAGCGACAATACAACAATCTTTTGTCATGGACTAAAAGCTATTATTCACTAAGTGGAGTAGCATACTATTTAAATATTAAGGCAATACGCATCTGGTAGGATGAAATATAAAGTTTTAATGTGACACTGGCTCTCCTGTACTCTCTTACTCTTTGGTTTTAGTCTTTTGCCTAGGCTAGATGGGGTCTTGGCCCCATATCAACTTGGGGAGCAGGCTTGTTTTTCCCTCGGACATTATCCTTATAATAACTTTAACTTATCTATCTCATTGACGGCGCTAATAGGCCTTTTTCACGAATCGGTAGACATCATGAAGTGATGACAAACATTGCGAATCAGCGGTGCGTAACCAACAGAAATAAGATAAGCTTTTGGGCTGA